TGAGCTCAAATTGTCCCATGTTAAGTCCGAGAAGGACCCTAAACATTGCTTCTTTTGTCTTTATGCCATGAAACCATATGTTTGAAAACATTTCTTGTTTTCTAGAACAAACACATATGTGCTTCCTTTGCCTGTTTATAAGTTGCAAATAGATGTCCCATTGGCATTCCCTTTTATTTATTTGTCAATATTTTATTCTACTATTTGTATATTTTCCATTATTGCCAGGTGAGTTTCTCCTTTGCCATTTACCTTACAATAATGTGTGAAAAATGAACCCATTTTCTCTTTTTCTTCTTAAAGAATATCCAGTTCCAAATAACAAGTATTAATAAAGTTTACTTCTCTGTAGTTTTTATTGCATAGCTTCTCATGCACTTTGGTAGGTTTCTGGAATTTCTACTATCCTTTTCTGTTTGCCTATTTTTATATTATACCATACTGCTTTAATTATAAAATATTTTAATGTGTTTTTTTTTTTTTTTTTTTGAGACAGAGTCTCGCTTGTTGCCCAGGCTAGAGTGAGTGCCGTGGCGTCAGCCTAGCTCACAGCAACCTCAAAACTCCTGGGGCTCAGGTGGATCCTTCTGCCTCAGCCTCCCGGGAGCTGGGACTACGGCATGCGCCACCATGCCCGTATTTTTATATATATATCAGTGGCAATTAATTTCTTTCTAGTTTGATAGTAGAGACGGGTCTCGCTCTTGCTCAGGCTGGTTTCGAACTCCTTGACTTGAGCAATCCGCCCGCTCGCCTCCCAGAGCTAGGATTACAGGCGTGAGCACAGCGCCGGCCATTTTAATGGTTTAATTATCATAGGGCCAGACATCCTCATTGTTTTTCTTCTCAGGATTTTGGCAATTCTTTTATCTTTGTTCTTCCATGTGCACTTTGCAAAATCATTGCTAGATTAAAGAGAAAAACTGACAAAAATCTGTTAGGAGATCAAATACAACTTTGAGGTAGCTTAAGGATAAATGACTTCTTATATTATTGAATTTTCTATTCAACAATAACATGCAGTTTTTCATTTAAGTCTTTACATATTTCAGGAATTCTTTATTAACTCATATAGATTCTGTGCATTTTTTTTTTTTTTTTGAGACAGAGTCTCGCTTTCTTGCCTAGGCTAGAGTGAGTGCCATGGCGTCAGCCTAGCTCATAGCAACCTCAAACTCCTGGGCTCAAGCGATCCTCCTGCCTCAGCCTCCCGAGTAGCTGGGACTACAGGCACGAGCCACCATGCCCGGCTGATTTTTGGATTTATATATATATTAGTTGGCCAATTAATTTCTTTCTATTTTTATGGTAGAGACAGGGTCTCACTCAGGCTGGTTTTGAACTCCTGACCTTGAGCAATCTGCCCGCCTCGGCCTCCCAGAGTGCTAGGATTACAGGCTTGAGCCACGGAGATTCTGTGCATTTTTAATTAGATTTGTTTCTAGGTAATTTTGTTTTACTTTTTAAAATATATTGTACTTTCTTGTTATAGTCTTCTAATACTATATTCATGAATGATGTGAATTATACTTAGAAAGGCTACTGTCTTGTGCATCAATATTATATTAGTCTGCAGAGGTATTTTTGTATTAGATTTTTTGTATCAATTCCTTTATGTTTCTAGATATATAATTATATCACGTGCAAATTGAGTCTTACATATTTGTTTTCATGTCCTCTCTGCCCTCAATTGCCTTGGATAAAGCTCATTGCAAATTTAATGAATAGTATAGACAATATTGCACTTTTTATTATTGTTTCTGAAAATAGTGGTAATCTCCCTTATATTTTCCATGAGTATGAAAAAAACCCTTTTCTCAGTTTTGAAAACATCTATTAATTCCTCCTTTTGACGGGTTTAAATAGACAGTATTTTATGTTAAATCCTGCTAAATGGATATTTTTGCATCTATGAACATAATCATTTATGTTCTATTTATCTCCATGAAAATGATAAATATTATCAGTGGATTTCATAATATTACATTACTCTTAAGTATCAGACATAAACTGAATTTTGTCATTATTTATTATCTTTAATAATAAATAGGATTTATTTACTAGTATTTTTTTTTTTTTGAGACAGAGTCTCACTCTGTTGCCTGGGCTAGAGTGCCGTGGTGTCAGCCTAGCTAGCTCACAGCAACCTCAAACTTCTGGGAAGAAGCAATCCTTCTGCCTCTGCCTCCTGAGTAGTTGGGACTACACACATGTGCCACCATGCCCAGCTAATTTTTTCTAAATATATTTCTAGCTGGTCAATTAATTTCTTTCTATTTATAGTAGAGACAGGGTCTAGCTGCTGCTCAGGCTGGTTTCGAACTCCTGACCTTGAGCGATCCTCCAGCCTCAGCCTTCCAGAGTGCTAGGATTACAGGCCTGAGCCACTGCTCCTGGCCTTGTTTACTAATATTTTATGTTAAATATTTATATGTATAGACAAAGATGAGATTTTTCTATAATGGTCTCTTTTGTACAACATTTAGAGATTTTCAGTAGCAATGCTCCATTTGATTTTATAATTTATTTGGAAATATTTTTTCCATTGTAATATTCTTGAATTGATTAAGAAGCATTGATTTATATGACATTTAAAATGACTGCAGAATTCCCCTGTTAAACCACTTGATCCTGGAACTTTATTTGCAAGAGCCTTTTTTGTAAACCTTTCTCCCCCTATATTTTTTATTGTGTTTAGTCTTGGAGTCTAAAAAGATACCCATATTGGTAAGCAATATTTTCCTAGAAGGTTTCCACATTATGTTGGTTTCCAAATCAATGTACATTCATTTGTGCTAGTTATTCATTAATGATTTTAGTAAAAATTTATGATACTAATTTATGATGTTTGATCATCTACATCTAGCCCATTGAAGCATCCTTCTTAGTTTCTTTCTGTCATCTCATTTTTCTTTCTATAACTTAAATAAAGGGGCATGTCAGGAATTCAAGAATGAACAAAGTGTAAAATTTCGGGTAAAGGACCTTCTCAGGAAAGCACAGAGTACAGTGTATAACACATGTTTCACTGTCAGTCCCTGCATTGACAGATCTCAGCATTTCCTTTTCTCTTCCACATGAGACTCTGTCTGCCTCCAAGGATCATGGAAAAAGAAAAGCCTCTCCCAAACACTTCAATGGAATCATTGGAGCTCCTGATTAGGAACTGGCAATTATTTGGGGAATTCATAACAAAGATAGAGTTTTTCAAAAATAGTCGCAGTCCTGCTAGCATCCACTGTCATTTTCACTATACATAAAATAATAATTGCAGTTCTGTAGGGAGGTGAGGTCACAGAATTGCAGGAATCTAGCTCAGGGTTCTCCTGCCTCATATACACACACACTGGCTGCCTGAGCTGTCACACTGAGACCACCATTCTGAAAGCAGGAAGGAGTCAAGTGAGTATTTTCTTTTGTTAAATTTTATTCTGCAATAGGGTTTCAAAAACTCTTTGTTGAATTAACTTTATGATATCTATTAGAACAGCACTATTAGGAATGGGGAAATGGGAAAAAGAAATAACTCAACATCATTCCCATTGGGTTTGTCATTCATAGTTCCCTGAATTCATGAGGACAATGAAAGTGGATTTAATGTTCCCCTCTCCCACCCACTGAAGTTTTAAATTTTAAAAAAAATATTATGGCTGCATAATAATTCTATAACTTTATAGAGTACATGTGATGTTTTGATTCCAGCATACAATGTGAGTTAATCAAATCAGGGTAATTGGGATATCCACCCCGTCGGGTATTTATCATTTTTTTTTGTGTTAGGAACATTGCCATTCCACTATTTTAGTTATTTTAAAGTATAACCTAACTTTTTCATTATAGTAACTTTGTTATGCTAACAAATACCATTCATTCTATCTAATTATCTAGCTATAGTTTTGTACCATTAACCATCCCCACTGTTCCCCTCCCCATTACCCTTCACAGGCTGATAATCATTCTACTCTCTGATGCCACATATGAGTGAGAGCATGTGAGATTTTTTTTCTGTCTTGGCTTATTTTATTTAACATAATATTCTTCAGTTCCATCCGTGTTTTTGCAAATGGCAGGATGTCATTCTTTTTTGTGGTTACAAAATATTCCATTGTGTATATGTATCACAGTTTGTTTACCCATTCATCTACTGATGGACACTTAGGTTGATTCCAAATCTTAGCTATTGTGAACAGTGCCACTATAAACATGGGAGTACAGACATCTTTTTTGATATCCTGACTTCCCTCCATTGGGTATATACCCAGGAGTAGGTAATATGGTAGTCCTAGTTTCAGTTTTTTGAGGAACCTCCGTACTGTCTTCCATAGTGCTTGCACTAATTTATATTCCCATCAAGAGTGTACTAGGGCTCCCCTTGCTCAGCATCCTCACCTGCATTCATTACTGCCTTTTGGATAATAGTCATTTTAACTGGAGATCTCCCTCCTTTGGCTCCAATTGGAAGAGCGCAGGGCCTCCTGGGAAATGTAGTCTAAGGCTCTGATGACGTCACCAGCGCAGTGCCGCGGGAAGAAGTTACCGCGTTATTTCTGCGCCTGGTCAGCTCCGCCCATGGCCGCCATTGTGCAAAGTTCCGGACCTTCTGTTTTAATATCGCTCCGCAGGTGTGGCGTTGTATTCTGCGTCCCTGCAGGTTGGTGCGCGGCGCAAAGCGGGGTCCGTGGTCCTCGGGGGACCCTGGGAGGCAGGACGGGCGTCTCCATTTTGTGGGAGCAGAAACGCGGGTGTATGTTAGGCTGTGAGGCCGGGCGTGCAGGTGCGAGCCGCCGACCTGGGCGGAGGACGGGCTCCCAGGGCGCAAAGGCTCGTCCACCCGGCCGCGCGGTGGCCCACGCCTGTAATCCAGCAGCCTGGGAGGCTGAGGAGGCGGGTCTTTTGAGCTCAGGAGTTCGAAACCAGCCTGAGCAAGAGCGAGACCCCTTCTCTCCTAAAAATAGAAATAATTAGCCGGGCATGGTGACTCACGTCTGGAGTCCCAGCTACTCGGGAGGCTGAGACAGGAGGATCGATTGAGCCCAGGAGTTGGAGGTTGCTGTGAGCTAGGCTGACGCCTTGGCACTCTAGCCTGGGGCAACAGAGTGAGACTCTGTCTTGTTGACGGACAAATTCCAAACCCTGAAATATTTGAAAGAAGTTTATTCTGAGCCAAATTTGAGGACCATGGCCTGGAAGCCAGTCCCAAGAAGCCTTGAGCAAGTGGGCTGGCTGTGGCTGGGTTACATTTCGGTTTTGTACATTTCAAGGGGTTACAGGTAAAGTCATAAATTAATACATGAGAGGCATACATTGGTTTGGACCAAAAAGGTGGGCCATCTCGAATGGGGTGGGACTTACAGGTTATAGGTGGTTTTTAAAGATTCTGGCAATTGGCTGAGAAAGTTAGTTAGGCTTTATCTGAAAGACCAGAAGGATATGCTTAATTTAAGATAAAGGTGTGAGCACTCTGGGAGGTCCAGACAGGAGAATGTTTCAAGTTTAAAAATAGGCATCTGCTAGTATGCTTGAGTTAAGATGGGGGCTTTTTATCTTTTAGGTGATGTTAATGCTATACTAGAATCAGGTTGAGAAGTAAACCACTGCTTTATTTGGTTAACGAAATCTGCTTAGTGGGAATTTACCATTTGTGAGCCTGACTCAGCTGGCTGTCTTAGGAAGGAGTTTTGAGCAAAAGAAAAAGATCAGAGTTCAGTCCCCAGTGTCAAAAAGGAAAAAAATTTCTACATACTCTTTCTCTCTCTCTCTCTCTCTTTCTTTCTCTCTCTCTCTCTCTCTCTCTCTCTCTCTTTCTTTCTTTCTTTCTTCTTCTTTCTTTCTTTCTTTCTTTCTTTCTTTCTTTCTTTCTTTCTTTCGTGCCATTTTGTTTAATGCAAACACTAGACAGTTCACAATTCACACCTGGACACAAGCACATGAACACATGTACAGGGGATGCTGAGATCAGTCTTCCTTCCTTAGAGGGCTGGTGAGCCTCCCTTAGGTCCCCCCAGGAGCCCCCCACTCCCTGCCCCTCAGATTTGTTTCCTTGGCCTGTGACTTCGTCAGCAGGTGCTCAGAGTTGTTAGTTTTCTCTGCTAAATAAGCTATTTTGATTGGCCTTTCTAGTCCACTCTCCCCACACCCCCCATCACCTGGGGCAGGCCCACGCTGGTCCATACAACCTTCAGATAGTCCCAAGAGACCGCCTAGGCTTCTGCAGGCCACCATTCAGAGCAGGCATAAAATGCCTGCGAGAGGGCGACGTCGGTGGAATGAGCGCTCTGCAAACAGGAGGCTGAGGGGTTAGCTGGGCATGTCCAGTCACCATGGGCTGTGGCCTGCGGGCCAGGGAGCAGGCAATGGGCTTTGTGCAGAAGGTACCTAGGTAGGGGACAGCAAAACAGGTCTCTTGTTTGAATTCAGTGCTACTGAGAACATAGTTTAAACAGAGTGTTTACGTCAGCTATAGGGTTTCAAGGTCTTTGGCATCAGATAGACCTCACCATAAAGTAAAGTGGAAACCCCCCTGAGGTCAGCTGTCTAGGTAGCAGTAAGCTATAGATGCAAAAATCCTCCATAGCTTCCTCCAGCCCAGCACGGGCCAGGGGGTGAGGCCAAGGGCCTTGGTGTTAGGGAGGGACAAACCTGGCCAAATTGACAATCTGAGCAATGAAGATGGGAAGCCCTGGAAACAGACCAATGTTGCACACAACACCTGTCTTGCTAATCGCTTTGCTGAAGCACAGGGAGCTTCTCCAGGCCACAGTTTCCTTCCTTCTTGGCTTTGCCCCAATGCCCAGGCCCCCTTTCAACCACACAGTGCTGGGCTGCCTGGGCTCAAAGCGCTGAGCAGGAGGGGTGTTTCGGAGCCCACAGGCACACACTGGGATGGCCTGCAGAGGCTGCCTTGCGCAGTGCTGCAACTGACCACCGGTCTGCCATGGGGATATTTCTAAAACAACAAACACACAAGGCATGCATTATATAGCATGTGGGGGCTGCGGATTCCAGTGGTTTCCTTAAAAAGCCTGTGGAACACATGGAGCCATAGTCCAGGCCAAGGAGGCTTGAGAGTTTTGTAAATAGGATCCTGCCTGCCCAGTGACTCATTCTGCCTCCAGAAGTGCTTTGTGACATGGCAAACAGATTTACAGTAGACCTTACCTAGCACAGCCTCCCACAGCAGAGCTCACTGGCCTAGAGCCACACGGGGTCCAAAGGAACATTCCTGGGAGCCACTCTTTATTTTTTGAATTTTCTTTTTTTTTTTTTTTATTTCGGCATATTATGGGGGTACAGATTTTAAGGTTTCAATAAATGCCCTTCCCCCCCTCCCCCCACAAGTCTGAGTTTCCAGCATGACCATCCCCCAGATAGTGCACATCTCATTATGTATGTATATACCTGCCCGCCTCCCCAATACCCTATTACTGTAGTACCTATGTGTCCACTTAGGTGCTGCTCAGTTAATACCAGTTTGCTGGTGAATGTATGTGGTGCTTGTTTTTCCATTCTTGGGATACTTCACTTAGTAGTATGGGTTCCAGCTCTAACCAGGAAAATATAAGATGTGCTATATCACCGTTGTTTCTTAGAGCTGAATAGTACTCCATGGTATACATATACCACACTTTATTAATCCATTCTTGGATTGGATGGCACTTGGCTGTTTCCGCAGCCTTGCAATTATGAATTGTGCTGCTATAAACATTCGAGTGCAGGTGTCTTTTTGGTAGAGTGTCATTGGATCTTTGGGTAGATGCCCAGCAATGGGATTGCTGGATCAAATGGTAGATTCACTTGTATCACTTTAAGGTATCTCCATATTGCTTTCCACAGAGGTTGAACTAGTTTGCAGTCCCATCAGCAGTGTAGGAGTGTTCCTCTCTCTCCGCATCCATGCCAGCATTTGTTATTTGCCTATTTTCTTAAGTGTTCGTATCATGAAAGGGTGTTGAATTTTGTCAAAAGCTTTTTCTGCATCTATTGAGAGAATCATGTGGTCTTTGTTTTTGCTTCTGTTTATGTGATGAATTGCATTTATAGATTTACGTATGTTGAACCATCCTTGCATCCCTGAGATGAAGCCCACTTGGTCGTGATGGATTATTTTTTTGATAAGTGTCTGGATTCAGTTAGCTAAGATTTTGTTGAAAATTTTTGCATCTATATTCATTAGGGATATTGGTCTGTAGTTTCTTTTTTGTTGCATCCTTTCCTGGTTTTGGTATCAGAGTATATTCGCTTCATAAAAGGTGTCAGGGGGTTCGTTCTTCTCGATGTTGTGAATAGTTCTTGCAGATAGGTCTAGTTTTTGTAAGTGTGGTAAAATTCGGGTGTGAAGCCATCTGGACCAGCACTTTTCTTTTTAGGGAGATTTTTAATTGCTGTTTCTATTTCAGCTGTTGAGATTGGTCTGTTCAGGGAATCTATTTCTTCCTGATTTTGAGCCTAGGGGAGGCTTGTGTGTTCTAGAAATTTGTCCATTTCCTCCACATTTTCCAATTTGTGTGAATAAAAATTTTTGTAGTAGTCATAAATTATATCTTGTATCTCTTTGGGATCAGTTGTGATATCTCCTTTTTTGTTCCTGATGGAGCTTATTAAAGATTTCTCTTTTCTGCTTTTCCTTAGCTTAGCCAGTGGTGTGTCAATTTTGTTTATTTTTTCAAAGAACCAACTTTTTATTAATCTCCTGAATAGCTTCCCTGTTTTCAATTTTGTTTAGTTCTGATTTGATCTTGTTGATTCACTTCTGCTGGGTTTGGGGCTGTCTGTTCTTCTTTTCCAGCTCTTTGTCGTTTCATATGTCTATTTGTCATCTTTTGACTTTTGGTTCATGCATTATGGGGGATAAACTTTCCTCTCAGAACTGCTTTAGCTGCTGTCCCAGAGGATTGATAACTTTTCTCTCCATTGTCATTTTGTTCATAGAATTTTTTATTTCCATCTTGATTTCTTCATTTATGAAGTAATCATTTAGTAGGAGGTTGTTTAGTTTCCACGTTTTTGTGTAGAAATGTGAGTTTCTGTTGGGTTATTCTACTTTTATTCCACTGTGATATGAGAAGGCACATGATATGATTTCTATTTTTTAAAATTTCTTGAGATTTACTTTGTGTCCTAGGATATGGTCAATCTTAGAGAATGTCCCATGTGCTGATGAGAAGAACATATATTCAGTGGATTTTGGGTAGAATGTTCTGTAAATGTCAGTCAGACCCAGTTGTTCTAGAGTTTTGTTTAAGTCCATTATTTCTTATTAATTTTCTGTTTGTGGAGGATCTGTCTCGTGCCGTCAGTGGGTGTTGAAATCTCCGGTGATTATGGAGTTGCTATTAATCCATTTGCTTAGCTCCAGTAAGGTTTGCTTTATGAATCTGGGTGCACCTAAGTTGGGTGCATATATATTTAAAATTGTTATCTCTTCTTGTTGAACTGTTGCCCTTCACCATCTATATATGACCCTCTTTGTCTTTTCACTACTTTTGTTGGTTTAAAAACTAATCGTCTGAATTAGAACTGCCACTCTAGCCTTCTTTTGGCTTCCATTTGCTTGGAATACTGATCTCCACCTTTTTATTTTTAGTCTATATGCATCCTTGCAGGTTAGATGTGTTTCCTGAAGACACCATATACTTGGCCTGTGTTTTCTTATCCATTCAGCCAGCCTATGTCTCGTGAGTGGAGAGTTTAAGCCATTCACATTTATTGAGAGAACTGATAGGATAGGTTAGATTACTGATCATTCTGTTGGTTGGATGTTGTTGCTATGATTTCTGTCTGAGCCATTGTAATATCTGGCCTTTAATCTGGGTTTTGGTTGTTTATAATCGTGGGTTATTATTATGATGTTCCGTGCATAACGCTGTTTGAGTAATTCTTGTAGGGCTGGTCTTGTCTTGGTGAATTCTCTGAGCCTTTGCTTGTCTGAGAATGTCTTTATTTCTCCTTCATATACGAAGCTTAGTTTTGCAGGGAATAATATTCTAGGTGGCCTTGTTTTGTTCAGAAGATGAGAATGGGCCAGTCTCTCCTTGCTTGTCAAGTCTCATGAGAGAAGTCTGGTGTATTCGAATTTGCTTTCCCTTGTGTTGTTACTTGTTCTTTCATCTTACAGCTCTTAGAAGGGCCTCTTTAGTTGATATTTTGGTCAGTCTGATGACTGCATGTCGTGACGTCTTCCTGTTTGCATTGAATCTCCCAGGGTCCTCTGAGCTTCTTGAACTTGTATATCGAGGATTTGAGCAAGGCCTGGAAAATTTCCTCTATTTATATCTTCAAATAGCTTTCCAACCCATGAGTGTTGTCTTCTTCCCCTTCTTGTAACCCTATGACCCTCACATTAGGTTTCTTCACATAATCCCACATCTCTTGTAGGCTTTGCTCTTTTCTCTTGTTTCTCTGCTCTATTTCTGTGACTGATTTATTTAATTGGAGGGTGTTATCTTCAAGCTCTGAGATTCTTTCTTCTGTTTGATCTACCCTCATCTTGAGACTTTCCACTGTATTTTGTAGTTCCCTGAATTGATTCTTCATTTCCAGGAGTTCTGTTAAACTTTTCTTCATTGTGTCTATTTCTTTAGTGAATTTTTTTTTTTTAGATCCTGGAGGCTTTTTGTGGCTTCTTTGTGTTGGTTATTGAGTTGTTCTTGCAGGTCGGTGAGTGTTCTTATGATCCACATACGAAATTCCTTTTCTGTCATTTTGGTTGACTGATTTTGGTTGGTGCCCGTTTCTAGGGGGCTGGGGCTCCTCTTTGGGGGTGTGTTTTCCGTTTTGTTCTTCATATTTCCTGAGTTCCTTCACTGATTTCTTCCCATGTCAATCAGTTGTTGTTTCTTTTCATTAGGTTTTTGTTTGGGTATTCACATGCCTTGTTTAGTTTCTGAGCCGGTAGGTGGTGTCTGTGGGTGAGATTCGACCACTCCCTGTATAATGAGTCAGTAGGTGTCGTGAAAAGGGTGTGCAGGATGCTCTCCCTGTCAGTAGATGGTGCTTGCTTGGAGGAACAGGCTATGCTGTTGTTTTTAGGTCCTGTTATCAGCTCTTGTTCCTGTAGAGAGAACTCTAGTGCCTCAGGTGGTGGGTGGGGCCCTGGGACTTCCAGGTATGTCCTTTTCTCCCCTTCAGTGAGGGCTAGTCTAGGAGAGAGTCTGGGTGGAGCTGCGTTGGGTAAGCCTGCCCTCAGGCACCACCAATGCCGTTAGCAGGGGTCAAAGTTTTGTTCTCTGCTTCTAGGCAAAGCTGTCAGGGAGGGGCTGGAATGGCTCGGCTCAGTCAGAGAGTCAGCGTGTGGGGGTGGGGCTGTCTGAGACCCGCAGTCTGGAGCAGGCCTGGCTTCTTTCCACCATCCCCAGCTCCGCGGCTACTCCTGGGCCTCTGCCAGCAGGGCAGACCACACGCCACCAGGCCTCCCCTGGCTGTGCTGCCGTCTGGGAGGTTCCCTGTGCAAGAATGCCACCTGGGCTGGGCTTATGGCCTCCCTTTGGGGGGAGGGTTGCCCTCTAGGACGCTGATCTGCCCCTGAAGGCACACACACCTCAGGCTGTTCACAAATATTCCTTCTGTGCCCCAGGCAATGCGAGGCCTCGGTGCACAGGATGTGATCTGCAGGTCTGACCTCTGGGTCCCAGAGTTCAAACTGTATCCCCACCAGGGAGAGCAGTGCCAGTCCCAATTCACCCACAGGGAGCCCACGCTGGGTCTATGTCTCTCAACCTCAGGATCTGCCCCGTTCTCCTGGGATCACCGTGGCAGCAGCACCTGGGAGGGCTGGCCGGTAGGGAGCTCACAGTCTGAGTTCTCCTTAGTCAGCTGTAGGGCCCCAAAAGGAAAGGTCCCGTTCCCTGGAGGTGCCTCTGGCTGGTGGCTGTATTGTCTCTCTGGGCAGGTGCGGGTAGGGTAGGGGGGAGGGGAGGAGGAGGCAATATGGTGCCTGTGGCGAGGCTCAGGTCTGTGCACACGGAGGTGCCCCGAGGGAATTGGGAGCCTGGTGCCGCCGCTACTGGCTTACCACTCACTGGCAGCGGCCGTCGCTGGGCTGGTGTCAGCAGGTCTCTCCACTTGCTGGGGAGCCCACTAGCATTCCGGGATGCAGGGGAGGAGAAATGGCTGATCCACCTACACTTCCCGCTGGTCTCTGGGCTGCTCGGGGGGTCCCAGCTTCCAGTTCTCCTTCGTGACCTCCTCCTGTGGAGTCTCCCGTGATCTCAGGTACTCCTCCTTCCGACCCTCATCCGCTGTAGCCTTGTCTTCTTGCTTCTTTCTTCTAATTTCTGCTAGAATCTGTCTTTTCTGCAGAGACACTCTGTCTGGCGGTGTTTCTCATCCGCCATCTTCTGGGCGCCCCCCAAAGACCTCCTGGGAGCCACTCTTTATCAGAACAGGTGATGGCAGGCTGACCACAGAGCTAGAAAGTCAGGTGTCTCTCACCACACCAAGTAGCATCTCTCCCCTTCCCTCTCCACCCCTACTGCCTGTTATGCTTCTGGCTACATAGGGTTTTGAACTTTTTTTTTTTTTTTTTTCAGACAGAGTCTCACTTTGTTGCCCAGGTTAGAATGAGTGCCGTGGTGTCAGCAACGCATAGCAACCTCAAACTCCTGGGCTCAAGCCATCCTGCTGCCTCAAGACTCCTGAGTGGCTGGGACTACAGGCATGCGCCACCATGCCCGGCTAATTTTTTCTATATATATTAGTTGGCCAATTAATTTCTTTCTATTTATAGTAGAGATGGGGGTCTCACTCTTGCTCAGGCTGGTTTCGAACTCCTGACCTCGAGCAATCCGCCCGCCTTGGCCTCCCAGAGAGCTAGGATTACAGGTGTGAGCCACTGCGCCTGGCCGGGTTTTGAACTTTTAATTGTTGGCATGTAATTGAAGACTGTTTCTCCCATTGCCATGTGTTTTGAAAATATGGAATTCCAGGGCTTAGATGTATTGATTTCTGTCCACTCTAAAGAATCAACTAAAATTTATAGGTTTACAAAACAGTGCTTTTATTGACCCTATTTTTATGAATCAGCATTTGGGCTGACCTCAGTTGGGAAATTCCTATGTGGTGGTGTTTGGGGTCACATACGAGGCTTTAGTCACCTGGTGTTTTGACTGAGGCTGGTTGGTTTAGGATTGCCACACTTAGATGTTTTGGGGTTCCTGCTGAACCATGGATGGGTCCTTTGCCTTCAGATATTAGCCCTAGACTTCTTTACAATATGACTGTGTCCAAGAAGACAAACATCAGTGGGTAGGTACTTTTCAACCTGTGTTTGCATCACCTTTGCTGATGTCCTGTTGGCACAAGCAAGTCTAACAGCAAAGACCGAGTTATTGTCAGATTTGGAGCCATTACTGGAACAGTGTCCAGTAGGAAAAGCACATTATATATTTTTTTCAGTATAATCGTGGGTAAAAAATGTTGAGCTGTGACATGCATACTTTTTTTGAAATGTAGGTATATAAAAGCAAGAGGTATGATAGTGGAAACATAAGAAGTCCTGCGTGGTATCTCCCTAGTAATAGGAAAATACTTGATATGGCCCAAGTGTATTTCTATAACCTTAATTCTAGTGAAGACATAATGTTTAATTCTTTGGTATAAATTATTAAATTATTTCTTGCAAGAACATTAATTGTTGCTAAATCAATTGCTAATATTTTCATGAACTCAAAAATAAAATGTATGTCTAATCTTAATAAATGTACTTGCTGGGACATCTTCAGTGGGACCTTTCTTGTCTTTTCTTGTGTAAGTCTCTTCACCTACGTGAAGGCTTTTATGTTGTTGGTCTATCCCAGCTAACGTGTAGAGCATTTTTATCAGGAGACCCTAGGACCAAGCCATGCCAGTTCTCTCATGGCTTCCTTCCGTTTGCCTTCTCTCTCAGGGTTGCTTCCAGAATCCTCTGTGTGTTTCCTAAAGCAGCCAAACATGGACAAACCTCTGGTGAGTTGTTTGTTTCTTTATTCTTCACTTTGTTTTATATTATATTTTATGAGCTTCATGGGGTCTATGAACTATGGTGGAAGAGTTAGAAATTAGTAAAACTTGGCTTCAGGGAAATGTATGTAATTTAAAATTGGTTTGTAATTTAGGCAAGTTATAAGACATTAGCACGATCTACATTAACTCTAGATTTGTCCTTGGTATTTTTGGTGCTGTAAGAAAAAGTCAGGAATATTTGTGACAGAGATGATATAGTCAAAAGTTTCTTATGACCAATCTGGAAATAAACAGTTTCACCATTCAGTAATGGAAAGTTACCTAGTGCTCATGCAAAATTCACATAAGGTTTTTCCGGAGTAGCTAGACTAGTCATTGGAGACAGCTTTAGGAAGCTTGTATTAATATTTTATTCATGAGTAAAACCTGGAATAGCTAGAGGATTGAGTTGAGCATACGTCCTGGAGTAATCCTCGGTACGATTCTCCCAGATTGTGTACACACACAGTTTTACAGCAGTGTGTTGAAAATTATGTTTTCTGACAGTTATTCTCAGTGCTCATTTGCATTTTAACCCAGTTAGGGTAGGCTTAGTTCAGTTCTCTGAATACTTAACCATTAACATAGATTCCAGTTAAATCCAATGACTACACTTGAATCTTTTTTTTTTTTTTTTTTTTTGAGACACAGTCTCACTTTGTTGCCCGGGGTAGAGTCCCCTGGCGTCAGGCTAGCTCACAGCAACCTCAAACTCCTGGGCTAAAGCGATCCTTCTGTCTCAGCCTCCCGAGTAGCTGGGACTACAGGCATGTACCACCATGCCTGGCTAATTTTTTTTTTATATATATATATATATGTATATTAATTGGCCAATTAATTTCTTTCTATTTTTAGTAAAGATGGGGTCTCCCTCTTGCTCAGGCTGGTTTCTAACTCCTGACCTTGAGCGATCCGCCTGCCTTGACCTTTAAGAGTGCTAGGATTACAGGCTTGAGCCACTGGGCCCAGCCTGTTTTCTTCTGATAGTAAGTTATGGATTCAGTGGCTTCCTTTCATATTTTTTTGACATTAGCTTTTGAGTATAGGAGGTGATTCAGTGTAATCACATCTTTGAAAACCATAGGCTTTTGGTGTACCCCAAAATCCATTAGATGGATTTCCACTCTACACACTCATTAAGACAGGTCATTTGTTTTGTGGCCTTCCCTTCCCTCCAAGGCTACTATGGGACAACAGTCTTAAAAGCCTTATTGTTGAATGGGGACTGTCTGTGAGGCAAACCCTACTTCCCTAAGAACGCTGAAAATCTCTTATTTTCTGTTTATAAAAACACTGGGCTTGATCCTTGGGGCCAGTTCATTTCTTACTTTGTAAAGGTTTTTGTGGGGACAATTGGGGAGAAGAAACTGTTGATATCAAATTCATGAAATCCTTGTCTTTATATTTTTTTAAAATTCTTTAGTTCATTTCTCTCCTCACATATTTTCTTAGTGGCAGAGGCAGGAGGGTAAGTGGCACTTTGCACATTCACCTAGAAATCTTAGCAGATCCCTGAGATGGTGAGGTACCCTTTCAATTTTTCATGTTCTGGCAGGCAAATAGCACAGTGCTCTACAGAATCTCTGTGGCTTTTTCTCCAGTTTCCAGTGAGTATGATGTTAGTTGTGAGCTTCTCATACATGAACTTTATTAGGTTGAAGTTGTTTCCATGTATTCCTAGTTTGTTGAGTATTTTTGTTATGAAAGGTATTAATCTTTGATATCAAGGTAATGCTCACCTGAAAGACTGAGTTAGGAAGTGTTCTCACTTCAATTCTTTGCAATAATTTGAACAGCATTGATGTTAGTTTTTCTTGAGGAGCACTGTAGAATTCTTCAGTGAGGTCATCTGAACTCAGGATTTTCTTTTTGGGGGACGTTCTGGATTATGGATTCAAGCTCAAGTTCTGTTTAAATTTTTAGTTTTTCAAGATTCAGTGTGGTAGCTTGTTTCAAGTAATTTATCAGTTTAATCTACTTTTGTCAATTTTGAGTATACAGTTCATATTCTTTCATAATTCTGTTTATTTGTATAGCATCAAATGCAGTGACACCTTTATCATTTATAATTTTAGTGTTTGAGTCTTCTTTCATTTTTTCTTACTTAATCTAGCTATTGGGTTTGTACGTTTTATTCTTCTTTTCAAACACCAAATTAGTGTCATTGGTTTTGTTTTATTCTCTGTGCTTCATGTGTATAACCATCACTTTTAATAATTTCCTTCTTTATCATTCTTTTTGTCAAAAGACCATTTCACTTAACATCTACCCTATTAACAAATTTTATGTATTTAATACAGTATTGTTAACTGTATTCAATATGCCGCCGAGTAAATATCTAGGATTTATTCATGTTGCATAAAGAAACTGTCTTTTGACCAACACATGAATGACTTGATTTTTATTCTTTTCAAAGGTTGCATAATATTATATTTATATAACATTATATTTATATAATACTTTTATTCATCTGTTGATGGCCCCTAAGGTTGTTTCCATGTTCTGGCCTTTGTGAATAATGCTTCAGTGAACGTGGGATCACAGGCAACTCCTCAAGATGCTGCTGTCAAGTCCTTGGATATATACACAGAAGTAGAATTGTTAAATTACAAAACAGTTCTATTTTTAAGATTTTTAGGGACTTCCATACGGTTTTCCTTAGTGGCTATACTAATTTACATTCCCACCAACCGAGTAGGGGGGTTCCCTTTGCACACACCCTTGCCAGCACTTGTTAACTGTTGTCTTTGGTAGCTATCCTAACAGATGTCAGCCAATACCTCATTTTGGTTTGGATTTGTGTTTCCCTAATGACTAGTGATTACAAGCACTTTTTCATATACCTCTTAGGCCTTTATGCATCTTGTTTGGATAAATGTCTGTTCTAATTTTTTGCACATTTGAAATAAGGTCAATTTTTTCTTGCTATCTAGATGTAGGAGTTTCTTCTATGTTTTGGATATTAATCGTTTATTAGACATAAAATTTGCCAATATTTTCTCCCTTTTAATCCTGTTCCCCTTTTGGTTTCCTGATTAGTCTTTTACTGGGAGGATATTTTCTCATATCTGTTTTAATTTCTGGCTGATTTGTTTTTAAGAGTGTGTTTTTAAATTTCTACATATTTCTGGAGTCTTGAGGGCTTTTTCCCCCTGGTGTTGATTTTTATTCCAATGTGATTGAAACAGTTCTTTTTATTATTTCAGTGTTTCTAAATGTGTTAAGGCTTGTATTATGGCCTACTATGTGCTCTATTCTGAAGAATATTCTGTATACACTTGAAAAAACTGTTCCACTGTTGTAGTGTTCTGTTTTGTGTTTTGTGTCTTACTGGTTTCATGATGTTTTTCATATACTCTATTTTCATATCGAGTCTGTCTGTCCTATTCAATATTAAAAGTTGATTATTGAAGTCTTCTATTTTGCATTGCTATTTCTCCTTTCATTCTTGTCAGTGTTTGCTTTATGTATTTAGCAGCTTTCATGTTTGTTACACATAAATATATTATATCTTCCTGGTGAATTGAGTTTCTTTATATTTTTTAAGTTTTCTTATATCTTATAATATGTTCTGACTGAGAGTCTATTTTGGCTGATATTTATATAGGCACTGCAGGTCTTTTTTAGTTCAGATTTGCATGGCATATATTTTTTTGTCCTCCCATTTGTATATTGTGTGTGTCCTTCAATCTGAGTTGAATCTCCTATAGACAGCATATATTAATAATTATATTCTGGTGTTTTTATATGGGTAGCTGATCTTTGTGTTTTGATTCAAGAGTTTAATCGTTTCCATATCAAGTAATCCTGATAGGGACTTATAGGGATAGTTATTGCTATTTGTTAAGGGAACTATTTATATAAACATATACATATATCTGCATAATCCTTCTGTATACTCTGTGAATCCCATATGCAATGCTATAAATTTTGTTTAAATAAGAATGTCTATTTTAAAGAAATTAAGAGAAGTTAAAAATACGTATATTCCTTTATATCTACCTATATAATTACTATTTCCAGAGACCTTGATTCTTTTCTTCATATATAAGATACTATATGCTGTCATTTTCTTTAATTCAGGAGAATTATTTTTAGTATTTCTGTAGTTCAGAACTGTGGATGATCAAATGTTTCTGGTTTTGTTCTGTCTGTAAATATCTTTTTCTCACCTTCACAGGATGGTGTCCCTGGATATGGAAGTGATAACAGAAAGATATTTTGTATGAAAACATTAAATTTGTATATTTTCTTATGGTGAGATGTCAGTCCTAATTCAGTTATTCATGTGCTGTTTATTTTTTGTCTGCCTTTTTTTTTTTTTTTGAGACAGAGTCTCACTCTGTTGCCTTGGCTAGAGTGCCTTGGCATCAGCCTAGTTCACAGCAACCTTAAACTCCTAGGCTCAAGCCATCCTCCTGCCTCAGCCTTCTGAGTAGCTGGGACTATAGACATGCGCCACTATGCCCGGCTAATTTTTTGTATGTATGTTTTTAGTTGGCCAATTAATTTCTTTCTATTTTTTTAATTTTAATAGACTGGGGCTCTCACTCTTGCTCAGGCTGGTTACGAACTCCTGACCTTGAGCGATCCTCCTGCCTCAGCCTCCCAGAGTGCTAGGATTGCAGGTGTGAGCCCTGGTACCAGGCCCAATTTTTTGTCTGCTTTTAAGATCCTTTGTATTTGAGCACCAACAATGATGTGCATACTATACTTTTGTTTGTGCTTACTGCCAAGTAGGGATTATTGGTCTTTGACACAGTTCACAAAATTTGGGAAGGTGTTAGACATTTTCTGACATAATATTGTTAATGTGACCTTCTTTGTAACAGAGACAGTTGGATTCTGGCCCCAAGTCTCCCAACTCTCTACCCGTGCCGTCGTCAGTGGCTGAAATCTTCCTTTATTTCCTTCAGCACACAGGGGCTGCTTTTTCTTTGTCTTCTGCTCACTGTGAAATTCCA